CTGTGTCCCCTATATCTTTAATGTGCTCGTGGTGACGCTTAAAATGCGTTGTGTGCCGGCGTGGAGGTTCTTGGTGCAGTTAACAGCCCAGGCGATCCATGATAAAATGTAAAGGTAGTCTGCAGAACAGGTAATTACGTCTCTCCGTGTTTGCAAACGGTCAGGGTGGAGAATAGACCATTGGTTGTTAATGGGGGGTGTACGTGCCACCAAGCATGTCGTCTGATGTACGGCCAACAGTTGGGTAGTAAAAGTCACGAAAGTGTCCTAATGGGGGGTGGAGCACGTGGGGGGGGCGGTGTTTCCGATGGTGAGATGGATACCATGTCTTAATAAGATGGTTCCGTAATATGTCCCGACCAGCCGGGGTGGTCAACCTATGAACAGTGTGCGTCGAGGTGTGAGCAGATATAGGTTCCCATCATCAGCCCTGTATGCCAAAAGTTGGGAGAAAGGCTGGGCAATCAGGGTTTGCATAAAACTTGATTTGTCGGAACACTAACGCATTGGTGGACGATAAGCAGTCTAGCGTCCATTTAAAAGCGGCAGTGCGCGGTTCGAAGCCACCAGTGTGTCAACTGGGGAGGCGTGTGGGTTCTTTAATGAGTAACCGAAGCCAAAACGACGTCAGAGGTTGAGAAACCAGACTGCTTTAAATATCCGTATTACCATGATCATGCAGTCAAACATCAATAAGTCTAAACTTGCTCAGCCTTCTCCGCGTCTATATAACGTTAAAAAATAACAAAGAGAGTTTCAATGATGAGTCGCCTCTAACTTAATATACTGCTGTTCAATCTCCTTGTGTCCATGCTAAAGTCAAGAGTCTAATTAATTTAACGATTGGTCCGGGAATTCTTTTCATGCAGTCTAAATGAGTGTTAGGAACGAATGACCCATAAAGTGTGTAAAATATGACGTTAAATTCCAAGGTCTCTGTGCGGATTGTGTGTCTGTATAATGTTACCTGCGGGCGGTGCAGTTGTAGCCCGGCACGTCGCCCTCTTGATGGGCGGGTCTGGCAATGGCTGTGGGCTCAAAGTGTCCAATGGCTTTGTCTCAAAGTGTCCCAATGTCTTTGTCGCAAAGTGTCCCATGTCTTGTGCCTCAAGGGTCCAATGGCTTGGCCTCAAGGTCTTTTTGCTTCGCGCTTTAAACAAGCACTGTCGTTCTTCTTCTCTCGTGCAATGCTTTCGTTCTTTTTCCTGCCGAGAACTTTTCTGCTATAAGGGTCTTGTGCCTGTTGCATTCTCGTGCGTTCGGTCGGGCGACAAACGCACTTTCTCATGTCTTTCTTCTGCCTTTTCCATTCACTTTTCTTTTTCCTTCTTTTCATGAGCTGACGACTCCAAATGTGTGGTCCGTCTTCTTCTTGTTAGGTTTTTTTCCCCGGCGGGTGCGGCCTATTATTGTGCGCATGAAGCCCGACGCCTACTTCTGTTTCCGGGGAAGGGGCGACAGCTCAGATTTTTGGTGAAAAAGCGGCGGTCTTCCGTTGTCTATGAGCTGTTTGAAATGGGGCGGGAGGAGTCTTCGTCGAGTGGTTCCGTTAGCTGCTGCAGCCGATGCTTGCTGTCGGGTGCCCCTGTTGGGTGAACGGGGGTGACGCTGGATGGTCCCATTATAGTAACGTCAGTTAGGGCGGGGGTGGCGGGGACGATGTTTGCCAATGATACAGACTGAAGGTGTGCTCAGGAAAAACAGACAAACAAGAAACCCAAACAAGTGAGTTAATTACCGATACAAAAACCAATGATTAATTACAATCAAAATAGACCGTATGAAATAAGTAATATTACATTTAAAAGTAAATTCTGAAAAGCCAAAATCTGCATTCAACTGCTATCCGAAGCCCTATTTTTTTTTTTCCAAAAGATTTCGGCGCTCTAAGTTGCATTCGAACTTTTAGATCACCAAAGATGTGGGGGAATATAACGTGTCCAGACTGGCGCTCAAGTTAGACAACCGTGGAGGATAAAAAAATAAAAAGAATAATCCGTCTTAGTTATAAGCTGAACTCAGAAGTGTCTGTGATCCTAGAAATCCATTCAGTAACATTACGGTGGGAAAATGCGAATTTTCTACAAAAATTTTCTTTCTTCACGGTGAGAGAGAGAAAGACAGAAGAGAGAGAGAGAGAGAGAGAGAGAAGAGAACGAGGGAGAGAGAACGAGAAAAGGGGGAGAGAGAGATGACAGAACGAGGGGAGGGAGTGGCCTCCCGAACAAGAGAAACATGGAGTCTGAAATAATTCCCTACGTTTTTCTGCAGTGGACAAGGCTTTATCAGTGTATAAAGTTATGTTCTCTCACGGCTTAACGACACTGTACATTTATCAGTAAATACGCCGGGAGGAAAACATTACCATTGGCTACCCTGATCAAGGATCGAAGTGTTCCAGTCAGAAGTCTTTTTTTTTTTTTTGCCTGAGTCTCTGTAACTATCGAAACAGTGACATCACATTACTAGAGAAAATAACCTCCCAGTCGGACTTTTGTCATTCTTTCTTCACAGGAACACCGCGTATACACTAACAGCCCAAAGGGCTCCTTTGTTCTCATACGCAGTTCGATAGTATCAGAATCCCACATTGTTTATAGACTGGTGTGCGTGTTTGCTGTATGTAAAGTAATGGTACCCGGTTGTGCCCCCGCCCCCCGGACGGGAATTATGGAGGTTTTATTATCCTAGTCACTTCTGTCCCTTAAATCTGGCCCTATGTTCGTAAATCCTATTGTCTCTAACACGTGTGCCTCTGTGGCACTTTTTAAACGTGTGCCTCTTGGCACTCTAAACGGTTGCCTCTGTTCACTATAAACCCGGGTGGCTCTGTTGGCCTGTATTAGTCTTTTGTGTGAGAGGGGACCCCCAATGGGGGGGGGGCTTCCCTCAAGGTTCAAAACGTCGGGAAAAACCTGACGAGTTGTTTCTAGTCGCGTTCCGATTAGACGCCCCGTCACGGCGGTCTGGCCAAACACGCTGGCAGTCAGGCTGGCCGAAGCTCTCGGTCTGCTATTAAAACAATGTGCAGATTTTGAAATGGTAGTCTGCTAACCGGTGTGGTGCCAGAGAGAGAGCCCCAAGACCCAACTGACCCAGGCCTAGCGAACTGAGCTCAGCTTGGCGTCTTCTTTGCTGTAATCTAATCACGTCGCGGGTCACCAAAGGTAGCCAATAATTCCCCGTTGCTGATGTGGCCACATTTTGTACAGAAATCAGACGAAAGATATCGCCTGTGGAACAGCTGCATTTATATGATCTGTCTATACAGCAGGATACCAGAATATTGCAACAGTAGGAAAGAGGTGCGCCGAAGCTTTGCCATGCTCTCAGCCCTGTGATTTGCCCGTGTCCGGACTCCTGGACCCCATCAAAAGAGACCTTCAGGGGCTCATTTATGGGAGAACCTTCCGAGTCGTCCATCCAGATGCGTCCCAAGGGTGGGAGTGTTTTGTCCGGGGTGCTGACTCCCTTGTCCCACGGGAGGCGGCAGAATGCCGGTTTGGGAATCTCCAGTTATGCCTCAAGATCAGGTTCCTGAACTGTTGCCCTCGTCAAAATGTCTGACTCATGTCGGTTTATCCGGGGTCCTTGTAGACTTATGATTTGAATGTGAGAAATAAAGCGAGAGCCGGTACGGCTGCAGTTGGAAAAGCGTCTCTCGTGTGTGCTCTCAGAGCTAAATACATTTTACAACACTATCTAGACCTTCTCGGTTACATTGGTGGCAGCGGTGGTTCTTTTATTTTTTATTTTTTTTGCCCATCCAGAAATGTTTTTCTGTTGCTGAATCAGCGTTTATTTAGCAGTTAACAAGTTAGCTAGTTGTGTGAAGTTTAGCTAGGCAGTTGTGTGCTTAGCGTGAGTTACCTGTCAACATGTGGAATGGAGAAGTATGAGGCCGAGGAGCGTTTTCCCGTGAGGAACGTGAGAGTGGATCTGCCTCCGCTCTTTGCTGGAGATGGTAGCCAAAGTTTTCTCGGCTGGGTGAGACAGCTGGAGGTGGCCATCCAGGCTACTGTGGGCACCGGTTCGGACTGTGATGAAGAACTTGTTCGTATCTTGCCCACTCGTTTATGCAAGTCAGCGTTTCTCCTGTGGGACAGCCTTCCGGATAGAGTGAAGCATGATTATTCTGCCGTGAAAGAGAAGCTCGCTGGCGCATTTGGACAGAGACAGTTTATGGACCGCTTCAGAGCCACCCTCTCGGCTCGTCCCCGTGCTGCGGGCGAGAGCTTGGAAGTCTACGCAGCGGATGTGAGTCGCCTGGTGGCGGAGGCTTTCCCGGACTATGGGGTCGTGGCGCGCAGAGAGGAGAAGTTTCGGCGCTTCCTCGCAGGTCTGGATCCAGCGTTGAAGAGCAAGTGTTTGGAGCAAGGCGCCACTGATTTAGAAGAGGCGCTGACTATCGCGGAAAGATGCGAAAACGCTAGAGAGGCGCTACAGAGGGACTGTGTGAGTAACTATCCGTTCAATCCCCATGTTGCTGAGTCCAGAGCTGTGGTTCAGGCTGTTACGTCCAATGACAGTTTATATAAGGCTGTGGATCAATTAAGCCAAGAGATGCATGCTATGAGGATGGAAATGAAGAGTGTTTATGAAGAAAACCAGAGACTCAGGAACAGTAATATGGGCCAGAGGCAGTTCGTGGGGCGCCGGTCTGGTTTTGGGGGACGTTGTGAGTGCACCTGCGGTGAGCCTGGCTGTCAAGGAAGGTGGGCAATGCAGAGACGTCAGGGTCGCTCGCCCGAGCGCGGAGCTGTTTCCCCCCCTGGTAATCTCGCTGCGCGCACCCCACAACGTACAGGCCAGTCTCCCGAGTTCCGTCCACCACGAAGCAGGAGTCCCAGCCCCGGATGGCGTGCCCGTCGTGAGGAAGGATCCTGGAGGCGTGGTGTTCATTTCCAGCAGCAGAGTTCTCCCGAGGATCCCGAGCATCAGGGAAACTTCCAGTAGCTGGTGTTATGACCCAAACACCGGCTTTTCCTCGGGAGGGCCCAATGTTCACAGATGATGTAGATGTGGGGTTGGAAAAATACCCTACTGCCTACGTCCGGGGGGTCATTGAAGGGGTGGAAGCGTCAGTGTTGGTTGACTCTGGGGCTTCTGTGTCTTTAATTAGTTCCGATTTCCGTATGGCGGTTCCCACACTGCGCGGACGGCCATTGAAGAAGGACTTTATTGGCTCACGGGCAGTAAATGGACAGACACTAGACACACTGGGCACTATAGACGTGTCTCTTCACTTGGGCCGGGCCTCTTGGCGGCACACTTTTCATGTGCTGAGGGAGTCTACTCAGGCGGTCCTATTGGGGTTGGACTTTCTGGCAGTGAACAGGGCGTTGCTCGACCTGGGGCGGGGGGTTTTGGAGATCGGTGATACGTGCCTCCCCTTGCTTTACCAGGCTCAGCTTGTCCCTGAGTGCTGCAATGTATCTCTGGCCGATGATGTGATTATACCTCCCTTAAGTGAGGCTTTGGTGCCAGTGCATGTGCGTCCACCGGGTGGTGCTAACAGGCCAGTAACTGACTTTGAGGGCTACTTGGAACCAAATGTCCCAGATTCGGCTGGTTTAGTCGTAGCTCATACCGTGGCTAATGTGAAGAATGGGGTTACTGTTGCGTTTGTTCTCAATCCCTCTGGGAAAGCAGTGGAGCTCAAGCAAGGGCTGCACATAGGGGAATTTTATCCTATTCACGAGGTTGGTGCACCATCGGTGGTGCCCACTTCACATAAATCTTCTGTCCCGTGTATGGTCACAGACTCTCCAGTCAACGAGCGGCAGAGGGCTGAATTACAGGAGCTTTTGAGTCGTTTTAGTAACGTGTTTAGTACCCCAGATGTGAACACTGGGAAGTGCTCTTTAATCCAACACCACATTTGCACTGGTGATAACCCCCCAATTAAGCAGCGGGCATATCGGACGTGTCCTGAGAAAAGGGCAGAGATTGAGCGTCAGGTGGGTCAGCTACTGGCAGATGGCCTGGTGGAGGAGAGCTTCAGTCCCTGGGCCTCACCAGTCGTGCTCGTCAAGAAAAAAGGGGGTCAGTGGAGGTTCTGTATCGATTACCGCCGTCTTAATGCGGTTACAATTAAAGATTCGCACCCGCTGCCGCGTGTGGACGACAGCTTGGATGCGCTGGCCGGGTCAATGTGGTTCAGCACATTGGACTTTTCGAACGGATACTGGCAGGTGGAAGTTGCCGAGGAGGATCGTGAAAAGACCGCCTTCACGACCGGTAGGGGAATATACCAGTGGCGGGCCATGCCAATGGGCCTGTCCAATTCGCCTGCCACCTTCCAGCGTATGATGGAGCTAGTCCTGCGTGGTCTCCCCTGGCACACCTGCCTCGTATATCTGGACGACATTTTGATTTTCAGTCGAACATTTGAGGACCATCTTGGCCATTTGGGGGAGGTGCTGACAAGGATAGATTCGGCCGGACTGAGATTGAACAGCAGCAAATGTCATTTTGCAAAGGACCATGTAGTGTTTTTGGGACATGTGGTGTCTAGAGATGGTCTCCGCCCGGACCCTCGGAACACTGATAAAGTGAGGTCATGGCCGACACCGACCTCTGCTGCTGAGGTCCGTGCTTTTGTGGGCCTGTGCTCCTATTATAGAGGTTTTGTGCAGAACTTTTCCCAGCATACGGCTCCACTCAATCATCTGGTCAGTAAAAATGTCCCTTTTAAATGGACGTCAGAGTGTGAGGCAGCATTCACCTTTTTGAAACATCGTCTGACCTCCTCCCCTGTAGTGGTCTCACCAGACTTTTCTCGCCCCTTTACAGTTTACACCGATGCGTCAAAGGACGCTGTTGGGGCGGTACTGGCGCAGGAGAATGACGGTTTGGAACATGTAGTGGCCTACGCCAGTCAAGCCCTCACTCACACCCAGAAACGCTGGTCCACCTTTGACCGTGCACTGTGGGCGGTTGTCTGGGCTGTGCACGAGTTTAAACATTATGTGGGGCTGTCAGCATTCACTATTGATACTGACCATCGTCCTCTACTAGGCCTTCGTGGCATGTCCATTGACAATGACCCTACTGGTAAACGGGGGCGGTGGATCCTGGAGTTGGATCCCTTTAATTGGGCCATCATCCACAAGGACGGATCACGGCATTTGAATGCGGATGCGTTGTCCCGCCGCCTGCTGAGGCCACAGCTCCTGCCATTGACTGTGTGAATGTGATTGATGTTGGGGGGCGAATAGTCATGACCAGGCTAGGGAGTCGTTACCCTCCTCTCCAGTGTACTCTCTCTGCTGTGATGAGGCCAGGTTGCGGTCCCTGCAGCAGGATGACCCAGACATCAGGGTAGTGCTCGGGTGGTTAGAGAGGGGAGTAGATAGGCCACCTCGTTGGGAAGTTAAGGGGTCTTCTCTCTGTCTCCGGAAATTGTGGGCTGAATTTGGTCGCTTCTCTATCAATGAGGGACTGCTGTGTAGGACAGATAGCCCCACAGTCTCCGGCCTGGAGCGGTTGCAGGTTGTCATCCCGTCCTCTCTGGTCCCTGATCTACTCCAGCATCTTCACGGGGGGCCGGCTGCTGTGCACTTCTCTGTGGATCGGGTCTGGGAGAAGGCGAGGCAGTCTTGCTACTGGCCTTTTATGCTTAGAGACATAAGACAGTGGTGTGAGCAGTGTAGGGCTTGTCAGACTCGCAGGTCGCCTATTCCTAAGCCTAGGGCGCCCATGGGGATTATGCAGGTGTGTCGTCCTCTGCAGCGTGTGGCGGCTGACATTTTAGAGCTACCTGTAACCTCTCGGGGAAATAGGTATGTTTTAGTTGTAGAGGACTACTTTACAAAGTACAGTATGTTGATCTGTATGCTTTGCCTAATCAGACAGCTAACACTGTTGCTACCTGTTTGTTTAATGACTATGTGTTAGTACATGGGGTTCCTGAGATGCTTCATACTGACCAGGGTCGCCAGTTTGAGGCTGAGGTCATCCAGACTGTGTAAACTACTGTGTATTAAGAAGACTCACACGACTGCGTACAACCCAAAGTCGGATGGCATGGTGGAGCGCCATAACAGGACATTGATTGACCAACTTGCTAAGATGTTACTGTCTCAAGGGGGTGAATGGGATGGATTTACAAAGCAGGTTGCTTTTGCGTATAACACTTCACCCCATGCTAGCACTAAGTTTTCTCCCTTTTATCTGATGCATGGCCGCGAGGCCCGGGTCCCAGCAGATGTTCTTGTATCTAACCCTGTATTCAACTCTGTGGGGGCGGGATCTGTGTCTGACTATGGAGATATGTTAGTTAAAAGGTTGGAGTTTGCATTTGGTGCGGCCAGGCTTCATGCGTTGGAGGCATCTGAGAGACAAAAACTTTACCATGACCAGACAGTGTGTCATCGGCCGTACGGTGTTGGAGCGTTGGTGTGGCTGAACAATCCGACGGAGAGCCGCACTAAATTAGCGCCGCATTGGAGGGGCCCGTACCAGGTGGTGCAGGTATTCTCGTCAGGGGGTGAACCGGCACTGACCTATGACATCATTAATCCACTGGATACTCAGGAGCGGAGTCAGGTGGTTCATCATGACAGACTCAAACCATACACTCTGCCGCTCCCTGCTCGGCCCCCTGCTAGTCGGGTTTTCGCATCGGACCCTTTCTTGCATGGGGGGGAGGCAAGTTTGGAGCCAGCGCTGGCCCAGCCGCAGCAGTCTTGGTCGGGACGTCTTGTTAAAGCCCCTTCACACCTCAAGGACTTTGTAGTTTGAGTTGGGCAGAGTCATTGTTCTTTGTTGTGTGTTTTTTTGTTTTAGTTTATTATGGCCCTGGTTTGAGGCAGGTTCTGAGTTATTTTATGAACCGAGGACGTTTCTTATGAAGGGGGGGACATATGTAACATACTGTTTAGGTGTGTGAATTCTTGTTGTTTTATAGATATTTTCTGCAGTAATGAAGCAGTCGACTGTATTTCTCACTTTAACAAATGAAAAACGTGTCACTGACCTCTCACCGGCGAATCATCTCTGTCTCTGAGGTGCACTCAGGGCCGGCCCAGGGCATAGGCGACCCAGGCGGTCGCCTGGGGCGCCATCTGCAGGATGGGGCGCCAAATTGCAGTCTTAAAAAAAAAAAATAATAAATTGTTTCCTTTTTTAATTATTGTGTTTCCCATCACGTAAGATTGAAAAAATACTGTTTATGTATACTATAAACTTAATCAAACTTGTCATCATTGAACTCTGCTGCTGTAAGCGGCTCTCTTGTCGCGCCAAGGTGAGTGGGTGGGGGAGGGGCAGCCCCGCACATCTCAGAAAGTGTGAAAGAAAGGTGGACGTGTTTTTGGTCAACGTTATTAAGAAAAGGCAGTCTACGTCAGGTGCAGCCAAACACCAAAGAAAAGAAGAGAATGAAAAACGGGCTCAAAGTAGAGGTATGAACAGAGACATGCAGCATGACAGATGAGAGTCTAAACTCTGGTTTGATCTTTAAATCTTCCAAAACGAGTCCGTTTTCACAGAGTTATGACTCTCTACAGAGTCCTGTTTGAGACAGAGGCAGACGCTACGCAACGGACGGAAAATACGTGCGCGATGAACTGCGCGTTTTAAACAGAGGCAAGAATGATGCACTTCCATCATGTTTAATAAATAATAATAATAAATAAAGCAGTGAGCTGCTGTGAACCAGGATAACCAGGACTGAACTAGGACTGAGTCAGGACTGAACCTGTTTAGGATTAACCAGTTTATACCAAGTTAAGTAAGTAATTAGTAAGTAATCTTTATTTATATACCGCCTTTTCACTGCAGATCTGAGTCTCAAAGCGGTTTACAATTGTTAATTTTGGGCCTTTGTCTCTCACTCCACACAGAGATGGGAGGGGCCAGTACAGGAGGCACATGTTAGAACTATTGGACATACTGTATTTTTAGTGGTAGGGGAAACCAGGGTACCCGGAGGAAACCTACGCAGATACAGGGAGAACATGCAAACTCCACTCAGAAAGGCCCTGGTCCAACCGGGAACCCAGGACCTTCTTGCTGAGAGGCGAGAGTGCTATCCACTCAGCTATCCCAGATGATTAAATCCTAATCCTTTTTTTTTACTGTATATATTTGGAGAAAGTAACTTAAAAGTAATGCAGTTACATAGATCACGATTAAGTGAATTCGAAAAGAAGCAAACGTTGTAAAATCCCATAATCCTGTCATTTTTAAACTACTTTTACTGCACTGTTCAAACGCTCCATGTCCTGATTTTAATTCCCTTTTGTCCCAAATCTGGTAACAATAGCTGCGTTTCCATTGAATAATGCGCAAAAACTTTTTCGATACATTTCAAAATTCGAAAAACCTGTAATTCGCAAAAGCGGCCGTTTCCATTAAGACATATTCGAATAAGTATACACTATTTTCGCGCGTTTATTCACTAGTTTCTAGTACGTCAACATGGCAACAGAAGTAAACAACACTTTGATTTACGTGAGATATATTAATGTCTTGACTTCTGCTGCGGCTCTCATCCTCTCTGACCCCGGGAGAAACTGTGGCTGCTTTGACAGCTCCGCGAACGCGGAGCACGGACCATAGACGCGCGCACAGAACCATAGACACGGGTCTTGCCTGTCTCCCCCGTCTCTCCCCCATGCCTCTCCCCCGTCTCTCCCCCATGCCTCTCCCCCGTCTCTCCCCCGTCTCTCCCCCATGCCTCTCCCCCGTCTCTCCCCCATGCCTCTCCCCCGTCTCTCCCCCATGCCTCTCCCCCGTCTCTCCCCCATGCCTCTCCCCCATGCCTCTCCCCCGTCTCTTCCCCGTCTCTTCCCCGTCTCTCCCCCGTCTCTTCCCCGTCTCTCCCCCATGCCTCTCCCCCGTCTCTTCCCCGTCTCTTCCCCGTCTCTTCCCCGTCTCTTCCCCGTCTCTCCCCCGTCTCTCCCCCGTCTCTTCCCCGTCTCTTCCCCGTCTCTTCCCCGTCTCTCCCCCATGCCTCTCCCACGTATCTCCCAAGTCTCCACACGAAGCGCAGCCAAAACTCACTGAATAAAGCAGCTCGGCTTCCTCCGCTATATCGAAATAAGTGTTTCCATTGCCGTTTTGCGAAAAACTTAATTTCGATACGTCCAAAAAACCACCTATTTTAAGCGCATTAACTTTTTATCGAAAAACTGTGGTTTATTCGAAATTTGCGCGTTTCCATTAGACATTTTATGATGCGCAAATTCAAATTTCGAAATTTGATGCTCAATGGAAACGCAGCTAATGTTGCATCTTAACTTTAACATTAACCCAATAAACGCTGCCTGTGAAGCCAGATCCCAGTAGACCTCTGAAGCTAAGCAGGACAGGGCCTGGTTTGTACTGTGATGGGAGACCTCTGGGAACACCCGGTGCCACAGTGGGGCGGCTGCGGCTGTAAAGTGCCAAACTGTGGTTGTGTCCTTAGGCAAGACACTTCCCCCACATTAGAACGAGTCTAGTGTGTGTGTGAATGGTTGGTGGTGGTGGGAGGGGCCGATGGCACAGACTGGTTTCCTCGCTTCTGTCAGTGTGCCCCAGGGCAGCTGTGACAACTACAGTAGTAGTTTATCACCACCAATGCAGTATTATTATTATTATTTATAAATGCTTCTGATGCCCATATTCTAATATACTTTAAAGTGGTTCTCACCCCCGCTCCTCGGAGCTTACGTCACTCACATTTCCTGTTCAAATCTTCCTCTAAATGGGCGTAGCCTGGAGGACTAAAGGGGGCGTGAACGAGACTGGGCCGTTTATATAGACGAGTTTTTTGGGCGTAACCATGGGCGCAGCCATTGAAGCGCTATGCTGTTTTTCACTTCCGGTTCGCGCTTGGCGCGGCTTACACAACTGCAGTTTAGACCGAAGAGGGAGGATCATTCCAAGTTCTGAGGATTTTAAAATGGATATAGGAAAACGCAAACTGGGTTGTGGATCATACTGTGCGGTCCGTGGTTGTACGAATTCGTGGAAACGCTTGAATGTATGGCTGGAAGGAGAATGTTATGATCATCGACCAGCTACAAGACGCCGATGTGGATGTGCTCCACCGTTTGCTTTGTTTTTGAAGCCAACAGCTGACAACGAGTCCAGGATGTGGCTAGCTGCTTTAAAGTTGAAGAAACCCCCTAAAAGAGTGTATGTTTGCTCCTATCACTTTGTGGACAAGAAGCCCACTGAGGAAAATCCTTTCCCGGAACTT